ACAGCATATAAACACCTTGTTTATATTGTTGACAATATGGTCGGCCTATTTGGCATAGCACTGCATGGTAATGTGCCTCTGAGATGTGTATATTTATGTATTTATGTTGTGTACATTTATGAATATTTATGTATTTATGTTGTGTATACTGATTTGTATTATTTATTTATTATACAGGTTTTTTTGTTTTTGCTTTTGTTTACACTGGTCCAGAAATAAAAAGAACAGGACATTGCATTAAACTCTACCATCTTGTTTGTGTAATATTCTTGGCGTTACATTTATATTTATTTTATTTGATTTCGACAAACAACATAATCCCTGTACTCACTTCCTCGTCTGATGTATCGATGTCGTCATCGGTTTAGTAGTTGAAAATCTTTCGCGTGGATGCGGATAGTTCAATTTCCCTTTCGAACCACCTGTGACGTTAGTCATAATAATATGACCCCTCATCACTGAGACGCAGATTTTTCCCTCTTTGCCTCATCTGTCATCGGTGTCTTTACTTTCTTTCTGTTCCTTGTCATTGCGTTAGTAAAATGGTGTTAGTAAATAGAATATTGACTTTGGAATATTTAAAAGAAAGTTGCGCAAAGTCTTGACCATATTTTTCCAGTGAAGACTTGACTGTCAATAATGCTGACATATTGGACGTTTGATAAACACGCAGTTGTGGTTATTTGTTTTAGCGTTTAAAAAAAGCGTTTCGAAATTTTGATCTTTTGAAAAGCTGAGATGACTTGTGTCTTGAAATTGAAATTTCCCTTCTCGCTATCTTAAAATAAAGAGATAAAACTAAGATCAATTAAAAAAGAAACTTATGCAATTAAATTATTAAAAAAAAATTATAATTATGAAAGCAAAGATATAAACACAAATCTAGTGTGCATTAGTTTCCAACCTGATAATAGGTAAATTACTCCCACTGTCACCATTAAAGCTGTCATGTGACAAATGGTCCGATGGGATTGGAGGAGATTCTGGAGTGGTCATTATCACGTTGCTTAGAGACGATAAGCTGTATTAATAATCAATATATATATATATATGGGTATATGCTCAGTAAGAAATATCTCATAAGTGACCCATAATTAATATTTTATGAGTGATTCTGTGATATCTCATGTATGATTGTTATATCTCATGAATAACCTTGTGATATCTCATGAGTAACCTTGTGATATTTCATGAGTGACCTTGTGATATCTCATGATTAACCTTGTGATAACTCATGATTAACCTTGTGATATCTCGTGATTAACCTTGTGATATCTCATGATTAATCTTGTGATATCTCATGATTAACCTTGTGATATCTCATGAGTAGCATTGTCATATTTCATGAGTGACCTTGTGATATCTCGTGATTAACCTTGTGATAACTCATGATTAACCTTGTGATATCTCATGATTAACCTTGTGATATCTCATGATTAACCTTGTGATATTTAATGAGTAGCCTTGTCATATTTCATGAGTGACCTTGTGATATCTCGTGATTAACCTTGTGATAACTGAGTAACCATGTGATATCTCATGAGTGACCTTGTGATATCTCATGAGTGACCTTATGATATCCCATGAGTGACCCTATGATATTTCATGAGTGACCTTATATCTCATGAGTGACCCAATGATATCTCATGAGTGACCTTGTGATATCTCATGAGTGACCCTATGATATCTCATGATTAACCTTGTGATAACTGAGTAACCATGTGATATCTCATTAATGACTGTGATATCTCATGAGTGACCTTGTGATATCTCATGAGTGACCCTATGATATTTCATGAGTGACCTTATGATATCTCATGAGTGACCCTATGATATCTTATTAATGACTCTGTGATATCTTATGAGTGACCTTGTGATATCTCATGAGTGACCCTATGATATTTCATGAGTGACCCTATGATATCTCATGAGTGACCTATCTAGCTGATATCTAGCTTATAATAATTATGCCTAGTATCAACGCATCTTGTGTTTGTTATTTTATTTTATATATAGTTATTATTTATAGAACTTTATAGAAATCCTATTTGTCACAGTCAATGACAACAGAGGTTAATTTTAAAATATCAGAGTGATAGTCTGACAGTACAACTACACACACAACTTTAGAGGAAATACTGTGGTTTAGGTACTTATATTAGTGACATATGAGTAATACAAATATCAAAAAGTTGTGATTAAGAAAAGAAAATTAATCTGAAAAAGAGACTATATATGAGAGACTGTGACACATGTTGACCTGTGATGACATGCATTGACCTGTAATAACATGTGTTGAACTGTGATGACATGTGTTGACCTGTTATGACATGTGTTGTTGGCCTGTGATGACATGTACTGAACTGTGATAACATGTGTTGAACTGTGATGACACATGTTGACCTGTGATGACATGCATTGGTCCGTAATAACATGTATTGAACTGTGATGACATGTGTTGACCTGTGATGACACGTGTTGGCCTTTGATGACATGCATTAACCTGTAATAACATGTGTTGAACTGTGATGACATGTGTTGACCTGTGATGTCATGTATTGATCTGTAATAACATGTATTGAACTGTGATGACACATGTTGACCTGTGATGACATGTGTTGACCTGTGATGACATGTGTTGACATGTGTTGACCTCTGATGTCATTATTGACCTCTGATGACATGTAAATCAATCTGCATGCACTGATTTGCACTAATAGACCTAAATGAAATGTTCAAATAAAGTCATACATTTTCCGGATACTGTGTAATGTTGTCTTACCGTTTTTCAGTCACTTCGTCAAATGTTTCGTAAATATCATCGTCTTCACCAATTTCTTCACCCTGAGAAATATAACAACAGTGATAAAGAACAGTCTGTAAGCAATCTTAAGAATAAAATTAACATTACATTTAATAGTCAATATCATCAGATAATTAGCCAAATTTAGAACAAGTAATCATAGATTAGCAGTAGAAACAGGTTGCTATACAAGACTCAAGACACCAATGGACAAGAGACTATGCACACATTGTAACCAAATAGAAGATGAAATACACCACCTAATAGATTGTAATTTATACACAGAATATAGAAACACTTTGTACAATGCCATAGGATTAATCAACCAAGACTTCAGAAACAAAAACAAAACAGAAAAATTTGATTATATAATGCAATCAAGAGATAAGACTAAATATTTGTTTCAATGTAAAAAAAAAAAAAAACACTGACTAACAATGTCAAAACTTATTATCAAAGTATGTGTGAAAGGACTAATTTCACAATCAAAATATTAGTAGTATAGTCTAATGTTGCTATTTTCATTATTACTATATTCAACTTCATTGATGTACGTAACCAAAAAAGAAATGTAATATTTTCTTTACGGTGTCAATAAAGCACTATTCTATTCTAAGGTATCTACATATAAAATATCAAAGCAATCCAGTTCGTAGTTTTCAAAAATGTTTTACCAAAAATGACAGAAATATTTACTAAGAATAGAGAATTAATGAACAAAACTGACAAAGGTCCACCCAAAGTACCTATATACCAGTATCAAAGCAGCTGAACTGGTAGTTTTCAAGAAGAAGTAAAAAAAAACATACCTTTTTACCAAAAATGACAAAAATATTTGCTAAAGAATTAATGATATTGTCACAAAATGAACAAATCTGATAGAGGTACCTATACCTACATATAACATATCAAAGCAATCTTGTTAGTAGTTTTCATAAAGAAGTCAAAAATGCAATTGTTGGCAGACAACGGCTGGACCACAACAGATACCTATATGAAAAAATCTGCCCTGTCATCTTGAATGACAGCATGGCTAAAAAGGCATCAAGATGTATAAACATGGTACAAATCACAGTACTGACGACTATTCATTCAATAACAAGTCATTGAAAATGACACAGTCCCCGTTAAATTTTTGAAAGTTCTCTTTGTGCTTGTCATAATAAAGCGGAGGGATTGTTCCAAGTGGCATATACAACAGATTGTTTATTTACATCAAAACACGTGTTCCGTGTAGTAGTAATATGGCCAAAAATAAAAACAGCCGTTATTCGGCCATCTTTGATCTGATTATGAAACACACTGATATGTATGATGTATGTGCCAAATACGAATGAAAATGGTACATAAATTGTGGAAATATAGTAGTAAGGCCAAAAAGTCAGATTGCTGTCAATCGGCCATCCTTGATCAGATTTTGAAACAAATTGTCATGGACATGCATCCTAACATGTATATAAAGTACATGTATGTGCCAAATTTGAATGAAAACTGACAGAGCACTTCCAAGATACCGCATAAAAAACAAAAAACAAGATGCCTGCCAGTCGACCATCTTTGATCCAATTGCGAAATAAATTGTCATGGACATGTAACCTAACATGTATAATCTATGTACCAAGTTTGAATGACAACTGACAAAGCATGTCCAAAATATAACATTTTCAAAAAACAAGATGGCTGCCAGTTGGCCATTTGAATCGAATCGCTAAACCACTGCATGTGCATATGTCCCACATAAGGTACTAGACACATGCAAAGAATGAACGGAATCGGTCCACAGGATTCTGAAATATTACTATTGACAGACTGACGCACGAACGGACGGACGGACAGACTCAGGAACTCACGAACAGTCGGGGACATGTATCCTTACATGTATAATCTATGTACCAAATTTGAATGAAAACTGACAAAGCATGTCCAAAATACAACATTTTCAAAAAACAAGATGGCTGCCAGTCGGCCATTTTGAATCCAATCCCTAAACCACTGCATGTGCATATGTCCCAGATAAAGTACTAGGCACATGCAAAGAATGAACGGAATCGGTCCAAGGGATTCTGAGATATGACTCCGGACGGACGCACGGACGAAGGCCGAATTATAAGTCCCCGTTTTCGGACTTCGTCCGAACGGGGACTAACAATTAATGGCCAACACCTTAGAAAACTGAAATGAACAGAGTACATCTATATATATAGGAAGAAATTTTCCTGATTCTAATGTTTTTTCAATTACATTTCGTCCCCCCCCCCCAATTCTGCAGATTTTGGTGCCTGGAAACTTGACAACTACCGATTACCCACTTATCAAATAGTCTGGACATGTTTCTAAGACCTAGTTCATTGGGGTAGAATGCTACACAAAAGTAAAAATATGATAATGTAGAAAATGAAATCAAAATATGGTTCAAATACAGTGTTTTGACTGTTTTATAGCATTTTATACCATTGTTTCGTATGACTCAATATCTCAAAACGTTTGCTCAGTGACATATGGTAAAAAATATATACTGTGGAATACTTTATTTTTTGGGTGTTTTGTATGGAATTTATTTTCACTGATTTTTGATGAGTTTAATGTGAAATATAGGAAAGAAAGTATATTAGCTGGATTTCATTTTCACGGAATCATCCCTTCAGCGAAAATAGCGAAAATAAATTCCAAGCGAAAATAAAGTATTCTACAGTATATAATGTCTTACAATGTACATTTTGATGTTTAGGAATATTTGCAAAATTGACAATACTTTTAGTGGGTTTTCAATGAGGTAATGTGTTTTTATTTTGGTCTATGGAAACTGTGGCTAAAATAGTTATTATTTTCTCAAAAAACAGATTGACAGTGACAAGTTTCCATGCTGTCGATTAATACTAAAACCATTAATTGCAAAAAGATTTTGAAAAATAGTGTCACTGTTATATGCACACAAATTTGAAAAAACTCACGAGTAGCATTCTACCTTAACCATGAGGAATTTATGAAATTATTTACAGTTATAATTGTTCACTAACCTCATCCGATACATCCTGATATACTTCATCCGGCTCGGTGTCAATTGGTTCTGGAGGTACTAAGTAACAATGCACATAATTATTTGTTTATGTAAAAAATTTGCCAATGAATGTATACAAATACTGTTTCTCATCAATACAATGTACAATGCATGAAAATAACACAGATTTATTTACCAAAGTACTAGTATATCTTATTTGAAAGCTATTATTTCAAGTTTTGGGAAAGCATTTAATCTTGAAAAACACCTTTTTTTCCATATGTGTCAGTGTTGACAACGTGTTGGTTGCACAGGTTTAATTTAATTGTGTAGTTCATACAAAATTAAAAGAAAATCAACCTAGGTATATCTGTGAATCAGTTGATGATGTTAAAATTTTGTAATTTCATTCTTTTTATGAAATATGTTGATTGTAAAGTTAGCATCTACAAAGTGATTTTGGAAGAGCACATCCATATTTGGCAACATCTACAAAATGATTTTAGAGAAGAACATCCATATTTGGCAACATCTACAAAATGATTTTAGAAGAGCACATCCATACTTGGCAACATCTACAAAATGATTTTAGAGAAGTACATCCATATTTGGAAACATCTACAAAATGATTTTAGAGCAGCACATCCATATTTGGCAACATCTACAAAATGATTTTAAAAGAGCACATCCATACTTGGCAACATCTACAAAATGATTTTAGAAGAGCACATCCATATTTGGCAACATCTACAAAATGATTTTAGAAGAGCACATCCATATTTGGCAACATCTACAAAATGATTTTCGAAGAGCACATCCATACTTGGCAACATCTACAAAATGATTTTAGAAGAGCACATCCATATTTGGCATCATCTACAAAATGATTTTAGAGAAGCACATCCATATTTGGCATTATCTACAAAATGATTTTAGAGAAGCACATCCATATTTGGCATCATCTACAAAATGATTTTAGAGAAGCACATCCATATTTGGCATCATCTACAAAATGATTTTAGAAGAGCACATCCATACTTGGCATCATCTACAAAATGATTTTCGAAGAGCACATCCATACTTGGCATCATCTACAAAATGATTTTAGAGAAGCACATCCATATTTGGCATCATCTACAAAATGATTTTAGAAGAGCACATCCATATTTGGCATCAACTACAAAATGATTTTAGAGAAGCACATCCATATTTGGCATCATCTACAAAATGATTTTAGAGAAGCACATCCATATTTGGCATCATCTACAAAATGATTTTAGAAGAGCACATCCATATTTGGCATCATCTACAAAGTGATTTTGCACAGACTGTTCCTCTCCAGATGAAATGTTAAAAATTGACAATCCTTTCGATCAAAAACTAAAAGCAATATCTGGAACTCTCTGTATGGTCCAAAACATTTACAAATGTGAAAATATTTGCAGTGAATATTGGGCAGAAAGATATCTGACACTCAAAGTGTAACCGAGTACTTACAATTGGATACTGGTAACACCGGTAATGTTGGCAATGGATCTGCTTTCCTGGCTGGTTTAATTTTTTCAGCTTCAACATCATCATAAAAATCTTCAGTTTCAAGTTCTTCATCTTCATCCATGGGCTTACTATAAATAATAACAACAACAACAACATCAAATATGAATATAAAATTTAGATACTGGTGCAAAGCTAATTTTTGTTTAACAACAATTTATTTCTGGAATTTGCATAATACTACTTAACTTCCAACATGTACTAAATTAAAAAAAAGTTACAATTACAGTTCAAAACAAGCAACTAAAAAAAAATACTTGAAAGATAGAATTTGTGGTCAAGAATCAGAAGATAAACTACACTTTTTAAAGGATTGATGCAAATATCTATTAATATCAATATTTGTCTACTGTAATGTTTCCCATTGTGATGTAAACCAATTTCCAATAATTCATTCATTTATTGAAAAGCACAGATAACAAGCCATGCATGGCACAGTCCCCGTTAGTTATTGAATTTAAGAAATATAGTTTCGTTCATAGTAATAAGCTGGAATATAAACATGTTATATGATTATGATGATTGATTAACATTTAAATTATTGACATTTGTATCTGATCGTCAAACGAGTTGGAGAGATATTGCTCTGGAACAGCATTAATTAAAACAAAATCAGCCATTTTGAATACATGTATAATGAATATATAAAATGTGAACATAATCAGTCACAACAAGTCAGAGATATGGCACTAGAACCACATTTATTAAAACCAAATGACCACCAGTCGGCCATTTTGAATCTTATCTGAAAAACAAAATGATGTGCATCAAGGTCCTATAATGTCCAACATACATACCAAGTTTGAACAAAATCCATCTGTAAACAACTGAGAAATGCTTGATTTTGAGAACAAAAATGGCTGCCATATTGACGTGGATATGTATAATATCAAGTATGATGTATGTGTGAAGTTTGATTGTGATTGATCCAGGCATTTTTCTAAGATACAGGTCCAGACACACGCACGCATGGACAGAAGCAGGGACACACGCACGCACGAAACATAAGTCCCTGTTTTCGGATTGCGTCCGAACTGGGACTAAAAATATAATCAAATCTGTAGAAGAATTTACACACAACACCATTTTCTTTGTTGCTGTATATTGATAGAAACTTGTATATTTCTAAAGATGGAACAAAGTTATTTAATATTGTTATTACTATTAAATAGTGGTGGCTATTGCACCGCATCATATTTGACATGGGACCCATAGTGACATACACAATGCAAATAAAACAACAAAAATTTGAACATTCACTGATTACTGGAAAAATGGCACCAGTTGTGAAAACTTAAAAACAAAAGTGTTCCATACTCATCTCATAGAGGGCGCTAAGTAACTGAATTATTGTCTGATCCACTTCTGAATACAATGTATGTGATATATTATATGCAACGTACAATGTATTAAAGCAATTGGAGTAGAGGTTTTCTGTTGCACAATTCACAACATGTCATGAATTGTGCAATATCTCGTGGTATACTTTGACGGGGGGGGGGGGGGGGTTATTGCTATTATATTATAACAGTATATTGACAATTCAATAAAACTAGTAAAAAAAAAGAGTTTACTTGCATCTACTAAAAGATCATGATTATGGCCCTTGAACATGAATATAAATAAAAACAGTACGTATACTGAATACACACAAAAACTACACACACAACAAAGTTCAAATTAAATACGAATTTCTTTTATTCCGGGTGAAATCAGCATAAACACAACAAATTAGCATAACAAAAGATAACCTTCATGACCTTTTACTAAATACGTCATCACCATGTGAAATACAGGGTCGTGTACAATTTGGATCATTACAACAACGGATTTTTCCACATAAACAAGTTTTCTGACTCTAACTGTGGATATTTGACGTTCAGCAGTACTTTGTTCAACGGAAGTTTGAGACATGGCGGGACGCAGTGGTGTATCATGTACGATGACTGGCACGGCGACTCAGACCCAACATCTGACCTGGATATATTTTTGGTAAAACCAAGGTTTTGTCGTTGTTCTGAAGTAAGTTGGTTGGTGCAATATCTGATGTGACACGTACATGATACATGCCTTGTCTCAACTCCGGCCAAATGAAGAACTTTGCATGCCATTGATCTAATACAGGTTAGTGTTCACTCAGGACAAATCTGCAGCTTTTGAAATTACCTTCATCATCTCCCCTAATTTATTTATCCCCAGTGGAGAATTACAAAACCATATATCATTGTTGAATTCTGTATTATCCCATGGTCTTTGAAACAGGCAATTACCCGGGTGCAATTTTGTCAGCTAGAATTTGAACGCCGCTAAGGGACATCGGTTGTTATTGGTGGCATACATTTTTGTCCGAGCCTCGTAGTTTTTTGCATTTTTTTCGTTCTTTTTTTGTTAAACTTAAACATCATGTTTTTGGAGGTTCGCAATCAATTTCAAAGTCACAACATGAAGGACTAGACATATTTTAACAGCAAACACAGTGTTCTGGCGCTCGTTTAGCTTTGTGTGGCGAATGCCGATAACCCAACAACTGACGCTCACAACTTAGATCCCTCCATTAACAAAAAGCAATATTATGGTTATATCATATGTTTTTAATTTGGTACTTTTTCAAATATTTTTCCAAAATTCAAACACTATATTTGCATAAAAATCAAATATTACTGTTTTTTTGTATTTCCGTATTAAACCTGTAGTCAATTCATGTTCCAGGGCCACTTTGTTTAGCCAATATACCGTTTAGACCAATCAAATCGATGGATTAATACCATCAATATACTGGTATAATATAATATATAATACATGCATCATAAAGACAATAAATAATCAAAATCAAGAAAGTTTAGAAATAACTTCTGTGTGCTGAGTTATTGGATGCATGAAGTTAGCACATGTGCTTCTACATGTATTAGAGAAAATACAGCATTTCAAAATATAACTGCAAGCAATGATCTGGGGGGGTCCAAGTAGCTATGATTTAACAATTATAAATATTTAATGAAATAATGACAATATAAGATGACTTTCAGTCATATGTCTTATCAGACAAAATTATAGTACTAGTTGCATGTCCCTATCGGCAACAGTACTTTAATATATCACATTGATTTCAACCAAAAACTAATCAGTATTGCACATTATCCCAGAGCATCTATGTTCCACGTTTCATTAAAATTCTGTTGAATGGTACTTAAGAAACAAATGGATATTAACTCAAAACTTATCAGGTACGTGCATTGTACTATAACATCTATGTACCAAGCTTCATTGTAATGTGATGATTAGTACTTGAGATATAAGTGTAAAAGTAAAAAATTTACAAATCATTATGCAAAATAAGATATTTAATGTGCAAGGATTTTTACCCAAAACTAGTCAGGTCTACGTATTGTCCCAGATCATCTATGTACTAAGTTTCATCAAAATTGAGTTATTTATAGGTCAAAATTTAGACCATTCTCACGTCTTTCTCACGTACGTGAGTTAGGCCGGAAATTAGCCATTGTCACGTAATTACATTTTCGTGCAGGAGTTTGACAGTTTCCGGTCAGTTCTCACGTGCGTGAGAATGGCTGTTTTTTAGTGCGTTCTCACGTGAAAAGAAAATGCGTGAGATCCCTTATAGGGTTTTGCGTCCT